GTCATTCAGGCTAAACCACAGGTCCATTTCCTCACTGTCCCGCTGTTCTCAGATCAGTTTTTCTTGAACTTTACCAGAGAGCATAATAGATTATGGGTGTCTCTCAATATGCGTACCTGGTTGTACTTGTATTCTCATGTACCCATTTCACTCCTCTTCCATTGCCGAAGACCAGTTCCAATACTCAGAAACAGAAGTACAGAGGACGGTAAAAATCCTCGGATGTCATTCTCGCCCCAAATGTCAAGGATGTATAGTTTGCATCCTCACCAAACTAGAACAATCCCATGATTCATTGTGTCCCAAGTTCGTTCTTGGGAGGCAAGACAGCAGGCCGCTCTTGCCAAGACCACAAGTGCGATCTTTGCGTTCTTGGTATTGAGAAACACCTTATATTTGACACAGTGGTTGTTTTCTAAGTTTCTATATTTCCCACCTGTTCTGTATTTTCAGTGGCCCCGATCAGGTTGACTTCTTCCTCCCCATGGCAGCTGGGTTGTGTAGCAACCACAACAACCTGTACTTTCAGTTTGACATGAATGCCAGTAGCAGCAACTGGGTCGTGGTTTACGGCTCCAGCAGGCTGTCAGTGCTGAAAGAGCAGGATGCCCAAACAGAGTGGATGGTCAGCACCGCAGCCATACAGAGGTGGGTAAGATGGCAGGTAACAGATAGACAGCATAGTGAAGGGTGGACGAGAGGCTGCAGAAGGTCTTGGGGGAGTATGAAGGTCAATCAGGGGAGTCTGATTTCCCTAAAGGGCGATTTTTGTCTCTTCTAGCCGTCCAACGCCAGGCTACTTCAATGGAGATCGAATACCAGACCTTCTGATCCAGCAGTCTGCTGGTCCAGGAGTCAGAAAGGTATCACATGTCCCTCTGCATGCCAGAACTGGTATCCTTCCCAGGTGCCCCCGCCGTGTGACAGTCAGCTGTCTGCCTGCCTTCCAGGTGCAGGTCATCGATGGCGCGAGTGGGCAGAACCTTTGGGAGGCAGAGTTTGCGTGTCCGCGTTTACACCTGGAGGGATCCTCGCTCTTGACCGGCTCTGGCCAGTCGGCTTTCCTGTTCTGGGCCGGTGACATCCAGCAGCCTCAGAACCTCTCCAGAGCAACGGTGAGTAGGCAGATAAGCATCACAGTCCTATAACACTTATTCAGAAGGTATCAGAATGAACATTTAGTGGGTATAATGGTCAACTCCCATCTCCATGGTTGATGCACATTGCATGTTGCCCCCCCCAAGAACATGCACTGGATAAATGGTCAGATGCATCACCAGTATGTATGCCTATTTAAGGAAGGACCATTAGTATGTAAGTCAGGATATGAATAGATCTCATATGTGCAGTAGCTATCCCCATGGTATTTAAGTCTATAGCTCATTCTATTTTGAGTCTGTGTATGATGTGACTCCATCCATGTAGCACCTGCTTGTCTAATTCAAGGTCATGGTGGGTCAATAACAGGTAGGGAATAACTGGGTGCCAACCCATCGCAGGGTACACACACACTCCATTCACACACACACTCCATTCACACACACACACAACTTCTTGTCAAACAAGATGGCGGCGCCCTAAGTCACAGCCCCCTCTCTGGGTCCAACGCTTTGGTGCAAAAGTGTGGTTTCAGTCGACTTTCACACCACATATTTGCTCACATGTGTATCAGAACAACTGGTGCACATGTCTGTCACCGCCAGACCCTGCTAAAACTAAGACAGCAACAGGAAAATAACCTTGAGGATGGAGTGCTGGACAAGCTATGCAATCTCGGTTTGCTAGAAGGGCCAGGCCCTCAGACCGCAGGGTCGTCTGATGTCACTGGCTGGGGGAGTGGAAATCGCACAAGGAAGCGGAATCGCAGCAAGCGGACAGGGGTCCAGCCTCCTTTCCATCGTACTCGCCAATGTTCTTTCGCTGGGCAATAAACTGGAATACCTAGCTTGAGTTCAGAGATTACTGTGTTTTTGTTTTTATGGAGACATGGCTCAGCGATGACGGACTACAGATAACTGGCTTGCTAATGTTTTGTTTAGACAGAAACGCACTCTGACCGGTAAGACACTAGGAGGGGGGCTTGTGTGTCTACATTAACGCAGAATGGTGTAGGAATGCTGTGCAGGTCTCTAGCTACTGCTCAGCGCTGCAGTGTTTCTGACTGCTAGATGTAGACCAGTTTATTTACCACGCAAATTCACCACCATGCTCGTAGTTGCAGGATATATCCCATCCAGTGCTAACGCCAGCAACGCACTGGCTGAACTTTAAGGAGCCATCAGTGAGCTACAAAACACCCACCCAGACAGACTGTTTATTGTTGTTTCAACCATGCAAATCTCAAGTCAGTTCTACCCAAATATCATCAGTCCATCATCATGCACTCCAACCAGAAACCATAGATGACTGCAGAGTTGCGCGCGGTGCTGAGAACCAGAGACACTGCCTCCAGGTCAGGTGAGAAGAGCAAAGGCCAACCTGTCCTGGGCCATCAGAGCGGCAAGGTGTGCACATGCTCAGAGAATCCAGTCATTTCCAAGACATTGGGGACGTATGACCATGTGGCAGGGAATCTGGGCCAACTACAGGACATCTACACTTGCCTGTGATGATGAGGCCTCCCTTACAGATGCGCTGAATCACTTCTACGCACGATGTGAGGAGAACTCATGGACATCTTCAATATCTCTCCGAGTACCACTGTCGTTCCAACGCGTCAGTCAGTACAATCATCTCTGTGCCAAAAAAGTGTTCAGTATCCTGCCTCAATGACTACCATCCCATCGCACACCCACATCAGAAGTGCTTCAAGAGGCTCGTCATGAGGTACATAATATCACAGCTGCCCCCTTCACTGGACCCCCTGCAGTTTGCGTATCGTCCCAACCGCTCAGCGGATGATGCCATCACCACCACCCTTCACCTGGCCCTCACCCACCTGGACAAAAAACATACTTCTCATAGACTATGCTGCTCATAGACTTCAGATCACCGTTCAACACAATCATTGTTCAGCATCTGATAGGAAAACTGAGACTACTGGGCTTCTCTCTGCAGCTGGATCCTGGACTTCCTGACTGGGAGACTTCAGTCAGTCAGGATTGGGAGAAACATCTCCAGTACCACCACCATGAGTACAGAGACCCCCTAGGGCAGGGGTCTCCAACTCCGGTCCTGGAGAGCTACTATCCAGTAGGTTTTCTGTCCCACTTGGCTTCT